ACAAATATAGATTGCTTACTTAATTAGGACTTAGGATAATTGCTTGTTTAAGCATAACTCAGTTCTATACTATTCCACCCGGTGGGGTTCGACCGTGGCTTCTTCATGATATTCTTGTCGTTTCTTATTCGCGAAACGTGTTTCATTGGTCAAAAACCAGAGGTCGAGAGGCCAATTTCCGACAACAGATTCTGGTGAAACTACTGATATTTGGAGAAATTCCTTTAAATTAAATAAATAAAATTAAATTAAATCAAATTAAATTAGTGATCCAGTGGAATTAAAGTACGTAAAAGAAATATTTTTTTAGTAATGGAGAACAAGTGATTCCGATTTCTACGCCTAAATCATCGGTTTCACACTCATTTTTTTAATACTTGTTAGGAGTCACTAATTATAGTAATTTATTATTCCAATGATGATTACTTTATTCTATTAGTATATTTTAAATATTTTATGTTCCCAAGTGAATAATTATTTGGGGTGTTTTTTTAAATAATTATATATTAATAATTGATGTGCACGACGTCGTGGTTCATAATTATGGTCAGTGCTGATATATTATAATGTCTTGCAGAGTTCGTTTTGATTTCGTTCTTCGTTGGCTCTGATTTCGTTGGTTGAATCACTCACTTTGATTCAAGAAAACAATATATTATATAAATTAGGTAGTAAAAGGAAGGAAAAATGCGATTAAGAAAATATTGACTTCAAAATTGGTGGGACTTGTTCAAGATTATTTCCCAGTTTGATCTAAAAAATTGACAATATTGTTCCGATCGATCACGACGCACACTGTATATGGATCAAACGGTTAAAATGTCGAGAGACATTACCAACATAGGTTGGCTCAAGTGGTAAACAGCTTGAAGTCACTAATGAAAGGTCTCAAGTTAAAGTTCTTGTGGATGTAGATAACCTTGTGAGGAGACTCACTCACCACTGCTAGGTGTGCGACCCGGGTCGACAACCGGATTATTCGGGCATAGCTCCGGATACTGTCGCTGACTACAAAAAAAAAATAAAAAAAAACTTGTCGAGAGACATTGCTGGCAAATGCTATTTTGACTTCACATTTTAGTTTATACGAAGTGCATATTTAGTTCATAAACAATGCATACTTAATTGATATTATTGTCGCACATTTAATTAATAAAAATAAATATTTAATGCGTAGTAAATGAATATTTAATTCATATGACTTACATATTTAAAGTGCGAATTTACTATACACAATGCATATATTATTTAATTCATAAAAAATGTATATTTATTATACATATTTAGTTCCTACAAATTGTATATTTAGTGAAAATTTATTGGTCAACATATCGTAGAGTCATACTCACTTTGTAATTTTTCACTTTTTAAAAAAGTTGAATATTATTTTATTAATCATAGATTTCTATAGTTAGAACACACTTCTAATATATTTCATATTGTAAAAAAAAATTGAATAATTGCGTGCATCTTAACAAATTAAACTATTATATAAATCTATTTTATACACATCTATTATACATTATGTCTGTATCATAGGTTCATAACACATGATTCGTAAAATAGACAAACAAATGAGATGCATTTTCGAAAGCACAAGAAGTCGGGCACACAAAACTGTCTTATTCTAATAACTAGCAAAAATAATATTATGTTCGGTGAACTAGTTGATAATCTAAGTTATATCTGGCAAGTGAATTTCGAGTTTATAGTTGCTAGATGATAGTATATGGCTGAAAATTAGTTTATACGATAAAAGTGTTATATAAAATCAGCTGATAATATAAGCCAACTAAAATAACTACTTCAACGACCTTATTTAATAAGTTACCCAAAAAAAACTTATGAGATGAACTCGAACTTTTTGAAAAAACTCGTTCTACCTAACGAAATACATATTTAAATATAAAAAAAAAAAACTAAGAAACTAACCAAATAATCTATAAAACATGTTGTGATGCGATTGTTAACAACAATTTGAAAGTTGATTTAGGTGATTGTTACTGATGATTTTAACGTAAGACATGTAATAGACACTCAACAATGGCCCCGGTCCGAGGTGAACCGAGGTGGAAATCTTCTGTGAGCTGTTTCGTGTTTCATGATAAAAATTTCGGTTCGGGGATCCCCCGTACAAGTATCAGGGGTTTGCTATATATAATAACTTTTTGGGATACATATTGGGATTCGTGCATTGCCTTTTTGCATAAAGCTACTTATGTTGGGGCCTTGTCAGCGGGTCCCACTTGATCTCGTGGTTCGTGATGGTGGCGTGTAGGCGCATTGTCACCAGCTTAGGAGGTTGTGACCTCAGTTCAGGGTGACTTCGGTTCCGGGATGACTTCGGTTGTAAGGATCACCTCGGTCTTCTATGGCTTGGCCGGTTCGGTAGGTGGACCGGAATAACTATTGGCCTTGTTGGTAATAATCCATTTAACACGCAGTTCGAGGCTACTAACTTTGGTTTACCGAGTTGGATGATAACAAAACACACTTTAAATAATTAAATGATAGAAAGAGTCGACAATTTAGAAGTCAAAAATTTATTCAAACCTTAATTCTGATGGTTAACTAAACAATTAATAAAAAAAACCCCGCTTAGGACAACACATTGAAGGACAAATTTAGGTATGAAACCACTATTAATGCTATTACAAGCCTAAAACTTTTATGGCCAAATTCAAAGTTAATTAAACTCTACAAAGTTTTATTATTTCTTGCAAGCAAGTTATAAAGCAATTATCACTATTGGAATCTAATTTTTTTTATTTTTTTTTTTCCTTTTGAAATACGTAAGAAAATGTTGATTGACAATTATTGGTGTGCAAAATGATAGTGAGTGAATAATGTATTTAATTTATGAAAGTTAAACTCCAATTATTCTCTTATTAAAGATATTAAATTATTAAATGAATAGAAATTAAATAATTATTATTAAATATTGTTTACTTTCAAATGGTCATATGCTGTCAAATTTGAAGTTTGGAGAGCTCGACATGCTTTAATAATGCTCATAGCTAAGGTATAAATACCTACCGATTTATGCTTCTTTTAAAGCTATGCAGAAAATCAACTTTTGAGAGAATTTGGTATGAAATTGGGAAACATTGTATACAGACTAGAGGACTTAATATATATAATATATATAGATATAAGTATATATACATAAATCGGGACTGGTTCAAAAAAAAAATAGTGAGAATCGTGAAAACCATATTTGATGTTATTTATAACTGTGTGTAATGCTATTTTTAACATCATATGTTGCTATCAATTTCACAAATGCTAATATAAATTGTGTTGTTATTTTTAATAAAATACATCCATGTTAAAAATAGCAATAGAACACAATTAATGTTAGCACTACGAATAACTAAAAATAGCGATTCTCATGCTAAGACTTGGTTCTTATTTGAACCACATCCTACATATATATTTTGTATATATCAATTTATGATTGTATTGTAACTGGTATTTTGTTGTTGTTTTTTTTTTTTTTTTTTTTTTT